GGGATTGTAGTGTTTTATTTTTTCACTACTTTCTGATGACAGACTCAGTCCTCTCCAGCATGAAGGATAGAAGTGTCCACAAATTTCTGGTGAGATGTTCTGCCGTTCTACATAGACTACACTTGAAGAGTTCATTTGCAAAAACAGATAACGCCATCTTCACAAATCTTCAGAAAACCGACTTTTCCATTGTCTACCTGAGACAATGTCAATCAAACTTAAGTTATCTCTATATTTGTCCTGTTATTTCCACTGGGTCAAATCCACTCAACTTCAGTTTGATTGATATTATCTCAAGCAAACAACAACAACAACAACAACTACAACAAAAGTTTTCTGACAATCTACAAAAATGGAGTTGTCTGTTTTTGCAAATTAACTCCTCATTTTTCGCCTGCTCTTTGCTGGAGGGCTTCTGTTGCTCTACTTTTCTCTTTAAGATACCCCACAGGTGTTCTATTAGATTCAGATTTACCAAGGTCATCATTTTCACTTTGTTCTTCAGAAACTCTTTTGTCATTTTGACAGTGTGCTTTGAATCATCACCATGCCAGAATATTTTTTGAATCTTCTGCAGACTGAGAGTCCTCTTGTCAGCCAGTATTTTGGTATATCCACATGCATTCATAGCCCACCTATAAATGTCATCTCCACAACACCTTTTGTACTCACGCAACATAAAATTGTCAAACTCCGGCCTCTGTGCTACACTGTGGTAGTCCTCGTCAGGTTCACACTCACCCTGCTGGACTCCATCTGAGCTGAACTTTATTTTGGTCTCATCTGACCAAAGAATGTCCTCTCGACATTCATCAGCCTTCTACTCATGTTGTTTTACAAAATTTTATCTGGAACTGCAAGCAAGGGTTTGGTTATACACTGTCCTTCACACGAAGCTGCCACAAAAACTTTGATTTTCATTGATAATCCCCGAGCCAAGTTTGAAGCACATGGCCGTCTGTTGTGGAACTAATTTGTGAAAGTAGCTCACTGTCCATGGTGCTGTTTTAGGTGGATGACCACTGCAGGTCTGATTAGTGGTACTATGACTCATTTTCTACCTCCTGAGAACTATTGTAACTGTATTTCAGCAGATTTTTGGTCGGCCACCGGTCTTTCTGTATCCATTGCCATCTTTGTTAAGTCTCACTGTCAGATTTCAAAATTTTTCTGGTAATTCTTTTCCATGTGGAGCCATGATGCAGACATACAAACAGACACAGGTCCAAAACTAAGAATGTTCTGGTGTCCACTGCTCATTTTATAACCATGTTCATGCTCAGTTTTGTTTCAATGATGGCGGATATGTTCACTTTTGTTACTCTGAGTTTCTACCTTGGGGCCCGTATTTTCATTGCAGTCATTCTTAAATTATTTTTTTGGTCTTTGTACCTTTATTGGATAGTGTAGTAGTGAGAGAGAGACAGGAAAGTAGGGGAGAAGAATGGGGGGAGGACATGCGGGAAAGGGTCATGAGCGGGATTCAAACTCATGACCTCCACATTGGGACTGTAGCCCTGCACATGGGACGCCAGCTCAACCAGGTGAGCTATAGCGGCGCCCCATTCTTAAATATTTTAAGTTTAAATTTGATAAATTTTCCCAAAGGAGCAACACATCACAAATGATTAGTTCAAGGAACATTGGAACACCCCTAGTCTAATTTTTATTAATTTTTTTCCCTGTTTTTACATTTTCTGGCAGATAAATGCCTTCAAACCCACCAACAGGGTTTGGGTTCAGAGTTAAACATGCAGAATATAGTCTGTGTTTAGTTGTGAACTGTTAAGAATGTCTTATACTAGAGTTGTGTTTAAGTAAAACTAAAGAAATCAACATTAGGACATTTTAGCCACTTGTGGCAACCAAAAAAACTTACTTTTAGGGATCAGATTTGTGCTGTACTCATTTCACTCTATGATTTGTCATGCAATGTTAAACTTGATGTATATAAAGTACAAAAAATATGATCCATGCTTGGATAGAGGACTTTATATTGCAGTAATAAATGATTCCATGATGAGGAAAAATGCAACAGGAGCAAAAAAACACCAAGGAACTGCTGAGTTCACAGGGTTAATACAACCAATTTGGATGTAAACTTCATGATGCAACATCTGAAACTCTTCCAGGCCTTGCTCAAGGAGATGTGGTTTATAATGAACTTTAAAATTGTTTGACTTTTGGATTAAGCACCAGGACAACCACGACTATGTGACACTGATGAGACTGTGTGACGTCACCAACCTAACCTGCAGCATCAATTACTGAAAACAGGACATGGCCGAGGTGAAGCTTAACCTGGAAGTTCCCGTTAGAGGAGGCTGTTAAGCATCACTGGTGATGTCAGCGGGCACCCATGATGCATTTGGGCGAATGGTGGATTACCAGAATAGGGGACGAGACATGTGGCTTAGAGTTGCAGTGTAGTGACTAGACTTGATAACTTCAGACTGTAGAGGGGAAAATTCCTCATGTTGCTGAAATTATTTTGTAAGAATTCCACAGTGTGATGTCAACAATAGAAGTATACATCCGCTTAATGGGGGATCTGTGTGTACTGACACTTAAAAGGAAGTTCCCTCAATAGTTCTCTGAACAAACAGCTTTTGAAAATTTTGTGCTTTTCGCCATGCACATATTATAATATCGCCTGTAATTCAGTTAAATCTTTGAGTTTCTATATTTCTGACTCAAAGGTGGTCAATAGTGACAATTAACAGAAACGCAATTTTTGGTACTTTAATTTCACACAGGTTAATTGGTTGAATAAGGAGTATCCTGCCATATAAAATAATAATACATGAATCTGCTTCAATGATTTTGTGCTTTATTAAGAAGGTACAAACATCATAGTAGAAAGATTGTTTTTGCATGATTTTTCAGCATTAGTCTCTTTTAACTTTAATGCACCGATGTTCAAGCTTCACTTTCCCTTTGTGGAAGAGGGTCACATCTTAAGCCTCCAAATACTCGTCAACAACATGCATGACCTTATCATCAGTCTGAAAATGGCAATCATGCAGGTGGGAGTTCAGTTTGGGAAAAGGATAAAAGTGAGACGGTGCAGGTCTGGTGAGTTAGGTGGATGAAGCAACAGTACAAAATAAAGTAACAGTTCAAAGCCACATTTGGCTGCTTCTGCCACTTTTGCTGTGTGGATGGAAGCATTGTCCTGGAGCAACAGCAACAGATTTCCTCTCCTTTTTTCTTTGATTGCTTCAGATATTTGAGTTTTTATCCACATTGATATAAGGCTTTATAATATAAAGTTAAGCACCCAAATAGGAGTTAGGCCCCTTGTTTCTGCGTGAGGACGAGAACTTTTTGAAGCACCATCGTGGTGTAGATATCCTGACAAAATTACCACAAGCAATCAATAATTATCTTGGAGTTACATAATTTTAATGTTATTTTACTATGGACATGTAGATTCACAGTCTAATTTTGCAATTTAATGGATATTTGTCTGCTTTTTAAAAAATACAGACAAAAAAGTACATTTACAGTTTTTCAGCAGTATGATCAGAAACATGCCTTCAAATAATATCACTTTATGTGACAGTAGGTCAGTGTGGTATTTTCAGCTCCCTCATGTGGCCACAAACTTGTTGTTCAAGCTTTTTGTTTACTTCTATAAAATAAAAATTCATATTTGACCTTCCTTTGCTCAGTCCCACCTTGACGAATGATTTTAGAGGAAATTTTCATAAAATCTGAAAATGTGTTGTTTAGGTGCCTTAGTAGAGAAATCTACTAAGGTGACATCCCTATCCAACTGTTCCCCTGGAGATCTAATTTGTGTCACTTCCTGACGGCCCACCTTTCCTGCGACAAAAAAAAAAAACAACAGAAAGAAAAGGAAATCTCCCCTGAAGCTTCAAGTCAGATTACAGGATGTCAAAGAGGGCGGACTGAACGAGATCATCTCTCCTGGAAGACCAATACCTGCTTTGCTTCACATCTCGACCCAAAACCTCCCTGCAGGTCTGCCTGTCTGCCTGCAATCAAATATATCTGAGCTCTCCTGCCTGCTTTTCTGCTTTCATCAACTGGTATTGAGGGAGGAAGTGTTTCCGAAGTTTGTTTTTTCTTACAAGGAGTTTGCATCCATTGGTTAAAAGAGCAATCTTCTGACAGGTCTTCTTTGGAGGCAATGTTTGACTCTTGATCCACTTTTCAGCGACTGCCTCTGCTGTGTGTCAGGTGTGACGCACGTTTAGCCTGACCTGCTCTAATTCCCTAACGAGATTGGTCGTCCCCGGATATCCCATTAGACCCTGATTAACTGGGCTCAGCTCATTAGCTCCGACAAACCAATTCGCCCCCTGTCACCCTCGACTCCAGACTATCCATCCTGCGTCCTGACAGGAAACATGCGCTGAAATGTCAAGAATGGGGACTACTGAACACCAATAACATCCATGTGTGAACTGAGAATCAATTAATCAAAGTAGATGCAACAAAGAAATCCAAAATTTGTCAAAAAAATAAAATGCAAATGATTTGATGTGATTAAAAAGAATGAAAAGTGATTATTGTTTCCCTACTGTTGCACATGCTGCAACGTCTAACATCAAACACCACCATTGTTTTTCTTTTGGATGTGCTTGGAGCAGGTGTAACTCCCACAGCCTCATATTCTCACATTTCCTCTCCACCTGTTCCCTTTCTCTCCCTACTTTGTTCCTTCGTTTCTTCACTTGCTCTTGTCTTTTGACCTCATAACCTGATTTTCGTCCTCCAATCGGTTTACCTGCCTCCTCTCGCCATGCTCCCTCTCCTTGTTTCTCCCTCTCTCTCTCTCCCTCTCTCTATTTCCATCTTTGAGCTTTATCCCTTCATCCCTTATCTCCTTCATCCCCTCCAATCCTCATCTGTTCTTCACTGTGGAGGAAGGGAGTGAGAAAGAGAGAGTTTTCCACAAGTCGAGCTGCTAGCAGTCTGCTGGGGGAGAGCGTCCGAGGAGCCTCTGTGGGATCTAAAGCAGCTGAGAAGTGGAAGTAACTCAGAGTCGGAGGAGTCTGAGGCCAAGAGCTGCACCAGTGCAGTACAAGAAAAGGGAAAAGGTGAGTTTCTTCTTTTATGATTGTGTCGTCCGGGTGGTTCCTTTGCTATTGGAGCCGATGTGAAGCTGCATCATCTCACTTTGTGAGAGTTTAAAGAGATGTGGAGTTTTGCTTTTTAAATTTGGAAGACATGAAATGGACTTCTGCTCTGCTGTTAGATTTGATGGACGACTTGAGCATTAATGAGGATTTTCAACACGTTGTTGCCTCTGTGAAACCATAAAATGCAGCTGCAGTTATTGTATTTCCAAAGCAGCTAATTAAACACTCCTGAGATGTTTTGTAACTCAGTTTCTTCAGCTTCTAATAGAAAACTGATTTCTTGCAAGTAATTGATTTATCAGTCGCCTATGAGACTGCATCCAATGTAATGATTCTTTAAACCTTTTGAAGGTGATCTTTGGATTGTAGCGAAGCTGCCAAAGAGGATTGGTGCCTCCGGTGTGGTAGCAGTAAGCTGCAGCCTGATCTGTCACACAAGGCCAAACCTCATCCAGGACATCTCTGCTGCTGCAACATTGGGATTTCTAGGGTTGCAACTGCAAAAATGTTAAATGCTCTGGAAATGACAGTAGATATATTTATGTGCACTTCAAATCAGAGGAGGGTAGAGGAGGAGCTGTTTGTGGTTTCAGAGCCTCCACTTCTTCCACATCGCCCTCCCTTCCTCTCCCCCTGATCCCGAGGTAAAGAGCAGTCAGTAATCGGATGACAGGAGATTTGACCGGTAAAGCTTCCCTTAAGATCTCCTGCCAGGATTTGAAGCCCTGTAGAAAACCTACCCCAAAAACCCTCAACACTGTCGCCGTCGCTGCCGTTGCCCCCCACCCCCCCATTTCCTCCATCCTGAATCCTGTCACAGGTCCAAGCTGCCTGAAGGCCTCATCCTGACCTCTGCTGATAAACACATGTTTTTGGCTTTGTCGGGCAAAACATACAGGTGTATGTAGGGTTTCCCATTTGTAATTGTTTTTTTTTTTTTTTTATTCATTCAGTGTACAAAATTTAAGAACATAGTGGAAAATAAGCATCATTCTCAATCCTGGTGACACCTTGGAATTACTTGTTTGGTACGCTGAGTATTATAAAACCTAAAGATGTTCAAGCTACAGTGGCTTAAAAGAGAAAAAGACTGAAAATTCTTACATTTGAGAAGCTGGAACGAGTTAATGTTTTGAATTTTTTGCTTGATAAAAGCTGATGGTGAGCAGTTTCATCATCATCTGTAAAAGTTTTTATTGTTTCCTCCATTGAAAACTGCTTTATAGTTGCTGTTGCACATGTAGACAGTCAAAACCATTGAATATGTTGATGTTCTTGGTTCACTCTCACTGAAATAGAACACAAACTGTGCTTTTTTTGAGAGTATGGACTGGTACAGAGTGGGTACCATTAGCATTAATATTTCCCTGGTTTGTGGAGGTGCAGGGTTTTACCTCTGATATCCTTCCTTAGACAGTCGTGCACGTAGGGGCCATTCAATTACTACGACGTCAGTATCCTATTACAGAGCATTAGAAACATTCATTACACTACTGCACGCAGGGCTTTTGGAGAAATTAACATTGTGTCAAAGTTTAAAAAAACAACAACAACAACAACAACCTAAAAAAGCAAAGTACACATCAAATAAGAGAAGTTAAAGGTTCTGTGTGGGACACAGTCACTCTCAGCTGTTGTTTAACTTTGATAACTGGTGACAGCTGAAAACTTTATTTATTCTTGATATTGGTGAACATTACTCTGGATAGCGACTCAGTAGCTTCCTCAAACAGATGACTTTGCAAAGATGAAGACCTCCGAACATAATTAAAGTGGAACGTATTCTGAAACTGTATTATTTTACAGTCATGCAGTTGATGTTTCTCTCAAAATCTGGATTAAAATGCCAAAACATCATATAAACTAAAAGTCAAAATGGCTGACAATGAAGATGGGAAGGTCACAAAGTTGTTAAGGTGGAAGATCCAACACCTTGATGTAAAACCACACGCTTCAGAGAGAGTTTGAGAAAAGTGAAGATTTTGATCTTCTATTGATTTTAAACTAAATTTGCACATTAAATTCTATGCATCAAGTGTATTTTTATACCTTGAGAGAAGTTTCTTTGCTTTCTTGCTACCATTTTGAATTATTTTCAGACTTTACCTTTGGTTTTTTTCATTCATAGAATGTGCTGTTTTCATTTATCTCCTTGCCTCTCCTTCCATTATACTTTCAATGAATTGCTTTCCTACCTCTGTGCATCATACCTGAAACCAGCATAAGAGCAACTTTGGTTGAGTGACGGATTACACCTGTAGCCTATGTGTCTAATCTTTGCTCTAGACTTAATGGTGCAGCAGCAATCTAAGTGCTAGGTAAGAGTTAGTATAAGTTGGAGGTATCAGGGTCACTGAGTGATATTCAGGCTGGATCTCGATGTACCTGGGCTGCAATTTACTGCAGGCTTAAGCTGTCAGGGTCAAACGTGAGGACTTCCACAGCTTTACATGTCAGGAGACAGCTTGCATAATGCCTTCGATGCAGCAACAGGCAGCGGCGTTCTCACAGGTTTTCTGTTATTCTGCATCTGCAAATCTTTCTAATCCATGCACAACAAAATCTGGGTTACAAATGTCAGACTGTTCCAGAAGAGTAAACAAGCTTTGTGTTTTTTCTTTCTGTCTCCTGTTTTAGAGTGACAGTTTCGCTTTTGCCAGTAACATCCCCTAGCAACCGTCGCCATGGCAGCTGAGAAAGCTGAAATGGATGCACTGAAAAAGGAGTGCGATGGCCTCCGTGCACAGATTGAGGTGAGCACTTGTTAAAAAAGAATGTGAAACAGAACAGTTTTCCCAATTCTGACATTTTTTTAAAAGTCCCTAATGTGGCTTTAAACTGGTTTATTTAGCAATTTAAAGAAAATGTTTCATTTTAAAATCACCAAAACTGGAAAGACATGGTTTCAACACACAGGTTGTAAAGTGGACTAAACACCATATAGTTAGTCGCTTTATTACTATCACTAACCACCATTAGTCCTCATTACTATCACTGTTACAGGATATGTGCTTGGCAGTGGACAAGGGTCATACAGAACATTAACTTGATGCATTTATCAACTTTATCACTTTTCCCACTGATGCTTTTAAAAATCAATCATTCATCCGTAAAATAATAGAAAAAATACCTGGTGTTTGTCATTATAAAACACAGATGTTCTGTTAATTAAATAATGGTGTGTCCATGAAAAAGGAGACACTTTCTGTGACAGTGTAATATAAAACAATGTCTTTTTTTGATGGTGCATTGGCAGCTCATTACCTGTCCTTTACTTACTACATTTTCTGTTAATTCATGCCCACAGTTAAACAAACAAACAACAAAACAACAGGACTTTAAAAAAATATTTCAATGATGATTCTGAAGTATAAAAAAAAAAAAAGTGGAAATTTTCTGTTTTTGTTAATGATCTATCTTTAGTGGAAAAATAGACCATTTTGTGTTATTTAGTGGTAACTCCATTATTAACAAAGGGACATTTGTTGTCATGTAATGCTACATCTGCACTATCTATGCAACAGCTATAATCTACAGTAAAAACAGTGCATTTTCTGTTATGCAATGATGTCGCTACACAGACAATATAAGACTCTTTATGTAATGTAACAGTATATCTGCAATAACAAACTGCAATAAAAAAACAAAAAATAAAACTTATGATAGTTGATTTATCTGCAGTGATAGCAACTTATGACAAAAAAAAAATTTGTAAATCATTTTTAAAAAATTAACTTGTCTATATTTCCATAAAAGTACTGACCTACAATAAATCTCTAAACCGTTCCAAGTCATAAAATTAGAAGTGTGGACAATTTCTGTTAAAAGATACAGTTTTACAGCTGTTAAATCGCATACACTTCTTACCTTTACCACTACTGCTGATATAGTTGCTGCTGCTGCTGCACAATAACGTCTTGCTTTCATGTGATCATGGGTGTCAGAAATAAAGAAACAGAACTCTCTCCCTCTTTTCTCTCCTCTGTGATGTTCCTGTTCTCCCACCAGGCCGCCCGTAAGGCTGTGAATGACAACACCATGTCTGGAGCAGCCGGCGGTGTCGCCTCTGTGGGCCGAGTCCAGCTGAAACTCAGGAAGACACTCAAGGGTCATCTGGCCAAAATTTATGCCATGCACTGGTCGGCTGACTCCAGGTGAGGACGAGGAGGGAGTTCTTCTTTTAAAAGACATTTTGACTCATAGTGGCAGGAAAAGAGCACGTCTGTCCGACAACATCAACAGCAGAGGCAGAAATTAGTTAAAGTGTCAGTGGAGGGAGAGGAAGAGAAACAGCACTTCTGACCTTTAAATCCTGCCATCTTCTCTCTCTGGACAGAATATCTGTTTATTTGTCTTAGATTTCAGTAATGCTTGAAGAATTTGCTGTGGCTCGCACAGTTCAGATAAAGAAAGAGCCAAACAATAACATTTGTATTTGTTTTTAAAATTGGTAAAAAAAAGAACCACAGGCTCTACAGAAACCAGGAGATAAAACTCCTTTCTGCAGTCATTGTTATCACACAGAACCACAGTTAAAGGGTTAAAACTGAAGAAGACTCTTGTAACATTAAATTTGTGAGTATTAGTGACCTATTTCATTCATCTACATGAAAATTTAGGACACTGACGACATAGTTTTCTACATAGTTTTGCACTGATTTGTTTTTGATTGACAGTCAATATACACTGCAAAGAAAAATTTAAATAAAAATTACAAATATAAATTCTCACAGCTGTATTGTCAAAAATAAATAGATTTAAATTAAAAAATTAAAAAAGAAATTCTGAAAAATAACAGAAAGCAAGCATCTCTTGAAATACTGTAATTTTCCATAATACAGAACTTACAGTTATTTTGCTGTTAACTGTCACTAATTGTATCTAATTTTAAAAATATTTTTAAAGTGTTAAACTTGAATTTAACTATTTAATCTGTTAAATGCAAAGGAAATATTTAGGAAACAATAATAAATGTATTTTTATGTCCAAAAAATATTTTTCTTAAAAATAAAACAAAACAAAACATTAAAAATGACATTTTGAGTTATTTCACATCAGACATAAATTCTCAATCTTCTTTGTAATTTTGTTAAGATTGTCATGGACTAAAACCCATTTAAAATCTGTACAATAAAATGGGAAAATTCTGTAAATGAAGATTTATTCATTAATTTATTTTACAGTATGCTAAAATATGAATCGTGAATCTACTTATATTTTACATTTTCTGGTTTCCGCACATCTTGTACACAAGTGTACCAAATTTCAGTCTAAAATGTAAAAGTACGAAGGTTTTAATGTACACATACTTTTGTTAATCAGAAAGTGCATAATTTAGACTTCAGTTTTAGTTGATGAGCATCTTGTTTCACGTTGACAAACTGTAGATGTTGGCATCCACACACCAGGGGGAGCTGCAGAAAGAAGTTAATCTACAAAATACTCAGACAGAAAGGAAGCAAAAATTTCAAATATATGTCTCTGCAAAACATGTTACTTCTACCTACCAGTTAGTGAGGCTTCATTAGTGGCATCCAGCGGGAAATATTATGGTTTCATAGTGGTTTTTTTTTAGTTTTCAAGTTTAAAATGCGAAAGATTCCAAACACACTGACATTCTGGTCTCTCACAGGCAAATGGTCAGCGCATCACAGGATGGCAAGTTGCTGGTCTGGGACTGCTTCACAGGAAACAAGGTGGGAGGAAAACAGTCAATAAATTCAATTTAATCCAATTTAGAGGTGTTTTATCCATGGAGTGCAAAAAGTACTGCACAAACTATAAGTAAACCTCATGTAATGTAGACTATAAGACACAATCACTATCACTTATTGTGGGTTTCTGCTATATATTCATGATGCAACAAACTTCTAAAGTGTCCTACACAGAATACAGAGTCAAGTAAAGTGAAGTGAATTGACTTGGTAAATTTTAAGATAACTTAAATTGATTTAAGAGACAAATCAGAAGAATTGTTTTCAATAAGCTAATTTATTTAACTAGTTAGTGTGTAAATCAGTTGTAATGTTAATGATGATGTTGGGCTGTTTGCAATTTTTTATTTTTTATTTACAATGCAGCTGTCAAACTCTGACCTGCCAAACAAAATGCATCTTTCTTTTCTAATCTTATGTAGTCCAGTGACTTATTTTTTTATATTTTAGTCAAAGGAATTAAACTGAGGCTGTGACTGGCCGCAGTAGCTCACAATACCCTTAGTAGCTTCTCATCCTGACATTAGATTAGTCTGGATTGCTGCAGTGAGTTAAGTTGTCGCTGTTGCTTCAAATTCCATTCTGAAGTAAAGGTTGAATCAGCCCATCTAAATTAAACTCTGATACTGGATGTGCAGCAGTTTGTAAACAAAAATTTCCACCTTCCAGTTGGTTGCCGTCCCACTAAAGTCTGCCTGGGTGATGAGCGTCGCCTTTGCCCCCTCTGGTAACCTGGTGGCCAGCGGTGGTCTGGACAACATATGCACAGTCTACAACATCAAGGCTGCCAGCCCCAAAACCCTCAGGGAGCTGGACGCACACACAGGTGAGGAGGTTTTGAAGGACAGTTTGAAGTTTATATCATAACAAAGCACTAAATGGAATGTACTGACATTTGATGAAACTCTTTCTTCCGCTCAGGTTACCTGTCTTGCTGCCGTTTCCTTAGTGACAGCGAGATCATTACAGCCTCCGGTGACACCACCTGGTAGGTTTATGGGTCTGGATTTGTTTGCATTTTGTGGTTAGACAAATTGAAACGTCCTCAAACTGTCACAGCACACTTTGAAAGGACAGCGTACAAGTTGGTGATTTACATATAAGAGATTAGAACCAACACAGAAGAAACACAACAGAACTGCAACTCTAAGGGACAGATACTGAATTCCACAAGAGTAAAGTTCAAAGGTTTCATTACTTTGTGTAGTTGTGCTGAGAGTTGTCACCAAAGCCATGGATTACTAAGTTTAAAATTACTTGAAAAATGTAAATATTAAGATTAAAACCCAACATTTTTATTGATTATATAAGATACCTGATTCTTTTGAAAACTAAAGTTAATACCAAACACATTCAAAGATTCCCTTTGAGAACAAACAAACCACTTTTCTCAAACCTTTATCTTACGCTTAATTTGTGAGTGTTTTCATTAGTCAAAAGTGTGGGACGTGGTACAGAATAGATTTGAGAAAAACCTACATAAAGCTGAGAAACAATGAGACTAACTGTACAGATTATTATACAAAAAAAAACAACAAATTCAAAAATTTCAATCATAATCATCATAAACTCCACTTGTGAGAGTTTTTACAGGTCAATCAGATACATAATAGAGTTGAAACAATGAGCATAACTAGGCTAATTTAAAACCCAGTCTAACCTTTAATTTGACATTTTTTCCTGTGTACTTTCCCACTGCTTTAATACCTCTCTCTCTCTCTCTCTCTCTCTCTCTCTCTCTCCCGCCCAGCTGTCTGTGGGACCTGGAGACTGGCAAGCAGAAGATCATGTTCACCAACCACATTGGAGACTGCATGTCGCTGGCCCTGTCCCCCGACATGAACACCTTCATCTCCGGAGCCTGCGACTCTCTGGCCAAGCTGTGGGACGTGAGGGACGGCGCCTGCAAGCAGACCTTCTCTGGACACACCAGCGACATCAACGCCATTGCTGTGAGGATCACACAAAACACACACCAGAAATAATTTGCCTGTCTGTCAGAGCGTCTGCACTGGGGTTTGGATGAGTAGAGAATGACTTGCAGACACTTTTAGAGGCCGCTCCTGTAACTAAGCAGCATTTGGTTCTTCACAGATCGATATAGAATTACCTTAGTTGTTAGTTTTTGCTTAAAAAACATCATGAGAAAGGAAGTGGCTTTAAATTGAAAGTAGACATTTACATTCAACGAACAATCATGTTTTTAACCACTTGTCCATGCCAATGATGTAATGCATCCCCAAACAAAAGCATGGAGGCAGAAATCTAGCATTTCTCACCAACACCTGTTCTTTATATAACCCACTGAGGCGATGTGATGGAGCAGCGGGCGCCTGAAGGTCACATAAACTCTTTTTGCAAAAACAAATGCAAGCCACAAACTGTTCTTCTTCTTTCTCCGCTTCAGTTCTTCCCCAGTGGGAATGCCGTCATCACAGGCTCCGACGACTGCTCCTGCAAGATGTACGACCTGCGCTCTGACCAGGAAGTGATCGGCTACCAGGACACCAGCCTGAACGCTGGCGTCACGTCTTTGGCTTTGTCCAGCTCGGGCCGCCTTATCTTTGCAGGCTACGACGATTTCAACTGCCACATCTGGGACTCACTGAAGGGAGAGAAAGTTGGTGAGTGGTGCTTTACAAAAAATCAAAACTTTTATTTGCACTGACAAACAAGAGTCAAGATAAATCTGATTTATGAGAGTGAAGGCTGATGGTAGTTTGAAACTAGAGAGAGATGTTAACACCAAAGGTAAGAAGCTGCGTTTTCAGTTTGTGATTTAACCTCTCAATGACTGACAAATATTAAATCCATCCATCATCGAAACACCGCTTAATGCTCATTAGGGTCGCGGAGGAGGCTGGAGTCTATCCCAACTGACTTAGGGCGAAGGCAGGGGACACCATGGACAGGTCACCAGTCTATCACAGGGCTACACTTAGAGACAGACAACCAAACACACTCACATTCACACCTACGGACAATTTAGAATCACCAATTAACCTCAACAAGTTTTTGGACTTGTGGGAGGAAGCCAGAGAACCCGGAGAGAACCCACGCTGCACAGGGAGAACATGCAAACTCCACACAGAAAGATCCCGGTGACCCCACTGTGACATGAACCGGTGACCTTCTTGCTGCGAGGCAACAGTGCTAACCAACTGCACCACCTTGCAGCCCCAAATGGAATCAGCCGTGAGCCAAATTCAAACTCACGACCTCCACATCAGGACTCTTGCCCGATACGGGGAGTGTCAGCTCAACCTACTGAGCTATTGCGGCAAATATTAAATCAGCAACATAAAACTGCTAAATTTTAGAATTTGCATGTTTGAAAATATAGACTGGCGACCTGTCCAGGGTGTCCCCTGCCTTCGCTCTAAGTCAGCTGGGATAGACCCCAGCCCCCCCGCGACCCGAATGAGAATTAAGCGGTGTATAGATAATGGATGGATGGATGTTTCAAAATGCTTGGAATGGGGCCTCATATGCAAAGTTTTCATAGTCTAAAAAAAACTAATGTCTAATATCTTCGTTAACAGAGAGCTTTAAAAAAAAAAAAAAGAGCTTTATATTCAGCTTTTCTGATGCAGTTTCACGATGCACATGGACCTGTAATTTATTTGCATGCATTTATGTGTGAAAATAAAAATGTGACGTGATCAACTGTGATTAGTCAGTAGTCTCTTTTTGCATCTCCTTCAGTGTCTCCTCATGTTGTCTCCTTTAACTTTTTTCCTCATCATTTCTAGTCATCTTTCCTTTACTTTCTGCTCTTTACTGACTTCATTTGCTTTCTCTTCTCCTTTTCTTTCTTTTCTCTCTTTGCCTTTCATTTTCATGCCTTCTTCTTACCTTCCTCTCAATGCTGTTGTCCTTTTCAATGCTACCTTCTGCTCTTCTTTCTTTTACATTTTCTCTCTTTTGGTTTCATTTTGTTCTTTTTGTTTACTCATCCTTCCTTCTCCTGTGATTCTTTCCTCTCCTTTCCTTCTTTTTCGATACTGTCTAATGTTATCCTTCCTCTCCTCCTCTTTCAGGTGTGCTGTCCGGCCATGACAACAGGGTGAGCTGCACCGGCGTCCCTGATGACGGTATGGGCGTCTGCACAGGATCCTGGGACAGCTTCCTCAAACTGTGGAACTGAGGCCTCCCTGACGGAGGAAAACACCGGGACAGGAAGAAGAAGAAGAGGAGGAGGGGAGGAAAGGAGGAGAGGGTGAAGATAGGGGAGATGGGATGAGAGGAAAACAAACGAGGAGACGAGTGTGGCTGGAGGAGATTGGGTTGCAGGTTTTTTAACCTTCTTTTTTTTTCCCCGCTCTCCACTTCTTCCTCATCCACGTATGCAAAAAGATGAGACATTGCGAATGAGTCACGCTGTATAAATGGCATCAGGTAAACACTGCACGATGCATGTATGTACAAGAGAGCTTTATTGTTGTCGAGACCATTTAAATATTGAAAAACATAAAAAAATAGCGCATTATTTGAAAAGGAACAGCAGAGCAGAAAAAAAGCTCTTATTGAGAATCTCAATTAAACACATATAGATATTTTTTTCGGCAATAAAAGAAGAAAGAACAGGTGAATGTTGAAAATAAGACTATAGAATCACAGATTTATTTTTATTGTCTTTGAGACCTGTAAAAGAGCCCTGCATTTGTTTAGATTGATATGTACATTTATTTGCTTTTTATAGTTTAACACATTAGAATGGAGAGTCAATGTACAGTGTCTTTTTTTCTTTTTCTTTTTTCTTTTTTTTTGGGCTGCATATATTCAGAATGTGTGTGTCTGGTCAAGCTGCCATCTTGGGTCTCCTGCTAACAACCAGCCGACTTTGATCCAAGATGGCGGCTGCTGTTTCCCCATTTCATCGTGACATTATGATGAAGTACCCAGTTGAATGATGGTATGAAGGTGGAGCTGAGCTGGCAGACTGCGAGACTGGCTGCCAGGTGGCAGTCCGACCTGTGAAACACTCTGGAAACACCTGTAAACTTTATTTTAATCCCCTGGGTTCAGCTGCATTTTGTAGTACTTTTACACTTCTGCAGTTCCTCTGTAAAAAGACGAAATGTTTGTTGAAAATCTTTCTAATAAACATAGAATTCTGCATTATCACCATGTCAGAGTCTGTGATTGTGTGTGTTAAGTATTAGAACTGGCCTTTAATATGACAGAACAGAAGTAAGACGAATAGCCGAGTATTTCTTCTGATGAACAATTAAAAACAAACACTAAAAAATAAACTTAACAACAAAAACATATCTGTGATCACCGACAAACAAACCTCTGATCACTGAAACTAAACTGAATACATCTGCACGGACGTAAAGTCGTTCTCAAATGTATTCATTTCCTCCCATTAAAGAAGGAAAAAAACAGCTGTCACTGAATTAAGTGAAAATTAACAAAAGTAATTATAAATACAAAGAATAATGAAAATAATGATATTGCTTTTGAATTGTGGTTCAACAGAAATATTAAAAACAAACAAACAAACAAACAAACAAACAAACAAACAACAACAACATGGGACCCGTACACTAATATTTTGTTGAACAACCTTTTGCAGCAATCACTGCAATCAAGTGTTTTCTGTAACTCTCAATCAGACTTTTGCACCTGTTGACAGGTATTTTTAGTTTCATTCAATATATTCAGACTTTCATTCCATATATTCAGACTTTCATTATATATATTCAGACTTTCATTCCATATATTCAGACTTTCATTCCATATATTCAGACTTTCATTATATATATTCAGACTTTCATTATATATATTCAGACTTTCATTATATATATATTCAGAGTTTCATTGTATATATTCAGACTGTTACATATATATCTAATTTCCTAAACGGCATGCTATATATATATATTATTACTTTTTCAGTTTCTAGTTATTTGAGTGACTATTGTGAATTTTGCCTTTTCTTTAATGGAAGGGTATGATTACATTTGTGGACAACTGTAGTTATAAAATGACCTTTTAATAGTACTTTCTCAATATATACCTATTGTCTCTACCTTTCTGCATGTCTGCATCCACATGGAAAGAATTTTAAAAATCTGATTGTAACACTTCACAAACATGGAAAAGGATACAGGAAGATCCATGACCAACTAAAACTCAGTGTAAACACAGTTGCAGCAGTAAACAGAAGGTACCAAGGACTTGACAAAGGGATTATCAATTGAATCTGAGTTTCTGTGACAGTTCAGACAGTGTGGAGGACAGGTCAGAACACAAACCTTTATGGAGAGTGTTAAATAACATAACTGCCACATACAACTTTGGTGAAGAACATGAAAAAAAGTCTGATGAATATAGGGAGCCCATTCTTTGGTCAGATAAGAACAAGATAAATATGTTTGGCATGAACCTAACCATGATTACTACAATGAATGCATAGTCCTGACAGTGAAAGCATGGGGGTAGGAGTTTCATGATACGGAGTTGCAAGAGTGCAAAAGGTGTTGGGTGACATTTATAGATGGCATCTTTAAGACATCAGAGCAAAAATGCCACTGTTCAACATATGAGTAATCCAATTACTCTGAGGTGATGCAATTTATAATCATTTAATGTTTAAACGACATTGCACAGGCGTGTACTCGCTACTGCTGTGCACAGTGGTCCAGGAGGTTCATTTAAAAATAAAGTGGTTTAACCGTAGTTGTAGCTCTCCACATCTGGAGGACGAATCGGCCCGGAGGGAGGTTGTATCAGTGAGGTCAACACACCTCGGTTGCATGAGTCATAACTGAACAGAGCAGCAGGGATGACACGCAAATGTTGATGCTAAATTCTGGCTGCACTGTGAACATCTGTTAGATTTAAAATCTCCTTCTGTCAGAGAACAGAGTTGTTGTCTTCTGTTATAAAAGAAAATATGCCACAGAACAGAAACATGTACATAGAAATGTACTATTCAAATACATAATGACATTTCATGCTAGGTAGCACTCTGTTATGGCATACTCTTTTATTTATATGTCATAGACTAATTTCAGTAGTTTTTGATGTAGATGTGACTAATTGTAAAGTTTTTTTTTCTTGGTGGAAATATTTGAAAACAGCATTCAGGTTTTTATGTTAGTATACAAGTTTGAGAGGTAAGATGAAAACAATCAACTAAAGCATCTAAATGTGACTAATCCACATAAACTATTTATTCAGTTGTTATTTCTGTATGTACAGTTTGAATGAAAATTAAAAATATGCCCATAATTTAAAAATAAATGTGAATAATTTAGAGTAGCATTTTGAAACTCTACATGCTTTAATAGAAAATACTTTGTTCATGTTTGTAATCATATATTTCATAATAAAAGTATCCTATATGTTTTGTTCTGTGTCAAACACAAGTACATATGGTTAATATAACATCACTAGTTGACTTCAGCATTTTCAAATTTTTTGGAAATGTGTAATACATCAGATATGAGACTTTTAATGTGATGTGTTTTTTTTTTTCATATTTCAATTTACCTATAATCAGAGGTTATTTAATTTTTTGTTATTATTGCAGATTTTGAACCAATGACATGAGAAATAAACGTGAAATTTCAGGCTTTTATCTTTAATAGATTGTGAGATGCTGTCATTCAAACAGAACCTCACATTTTAATTCAGGAATAAACGTGCCAAATGGGGTTGATGAGTAACTGAAAAAAAATCACAGACACTTTTTCAAACATGATTAGTTTATGACTACAAAAAGCAATGTTTTAAGGATAACAGAGATGGTCAATCAGAAGGATCCTGATGACGTGAGATGGAATAGTCCTTATGTAACAGCCATGAATCCCAAATGGGACATTCTGCATACATTTTATTGCAACTTTGGTACTTTAAGTGTATTTACAATGATAAATCTAACAGTATTTCTGGTGCTGCTGCACACAGTATCCTCAGTACTGGTGTATTTCATGCGTCAGAGGACAACAAATGTCCAGCAGGTGGCAGTAATTCCCCACAAAGCTGCTGCACTGCCTTTCTAAAGCCAAACCAGAAGAAGAATCCTGTTTTAGCTGGTCTTTAGTCAGATTTAACCGACAGCAGCTGACCTGCACACTTGTCGAACTCGTCCCGAGCTGCCTCTGACCCGCCGGGCCTCCTTCTCCTCTCCTCACCGCGTACCAGCCACCATCAGCCGGCCATGGCGCAGCGGAAGTTCTTCGTGGGAGGAAACTGGAAGATGAACGGGAACAAGGAAAGTCTGGGAGAGCTCATTAACACCCTGAACACCGCCAGCCTGCACGACCAGACCGGTGAGTAACAGAGCTGCAGGATTACACACAAGCTGCTGATCAGCTGCGTTTATCAATGCAGGTGATCGATCAGGTGTTGATGTGGAGGACGAGGTGGTGGGATGCTGCTGATGCTGCTGCTGTTCGGATGACACAGTGACATTGAGAGTCATGTGACCAGGATGAGTTGCATAAAGGCCTCTGACGTTTCTCTTCCTGTTGTGGTGAAAATACTTCCACTTAAGTATTTGTACTCATCTACAGTCAGGCATGTTTGAAAGTTCAACTCTGCACACCCCAAAATCAAAATTGTTGGACCATAGCTTCAGTAGGTATCATGCAATTAAATTGAGTTCATCCAAATTAATTTAACAACGCTGCTGGTGGTACCTTAAATGGTCTGATTCATCTCACAATCACACGACAAACTTGCATAAGGACATATAGTGCCACATTGATCGACAAGATCTTTACAAATATAGTTGATCAGAAAATAAACTGTGGATTAATTATCAATGATTCTAGTGACCGTCTACCAGTATTTGCAATAATACAAAACAATGAGAAAACAAAACATGACCTACCAAAGTACAAAATAATAACACAATTCAATTCAATTCAATTTTATTTGTATAGCGCATATTTACAACAACAAGTCATCTCATAGCGCTTAACAAAGGCAGAGACACCCAACAATCCAAAACATTTGGATTCCCTATAAGCTTCAGCAGTCCGCAAGCAGTCCGCAACAGTGGGAAGGAACCGAAAACCCCCACAGGGGAAAAAAAACCTCCGACAGAACCAGGCTCAGGGAGGGACGGCCATCTTCCTCGACCGGTTGGGTGGATGTAGGATGAATTAAAAATTTAGTTTACAGTTAAACAAGTTAATTAAAGACAAATAAAAGAACAACCAATACAAGCACTTTAAAATGAGCTAATGAGCTTTTATTGGAGTATGATCTGCTGAGGGGAAACAAAAAACATCCTAAAAACAGAGATAACATAAATAGAATAAATATAGAAATCATGGACACAATTTTTTTAAGAGAAACAGATGAGAAAGAGATCACAGATATAGTGAGAGGTTTCAAAAACAAACACTCTAAAGACTGTAACAACACTGATATGGCATTTATAAAGAGTATAATAGAATGTGTGGTGGAACCCTTTACCTCAATTTGTAATCAGTCTTTGAAAATAGGAATTTTCCCAAGACCAATGAAAACAGCAGCGGTTACACCAATATTTAAAGCTGGTGATAAACACAAACTTTCCAGCTACAGGCCAATTTCTTTACTTCCCCAGTTCTCCAAAATATTAGAAAAAATATTTTATGTTAGATTGGGCAACTTCATGACTAAACAGAAAAAATGAAACTTCCTCATTAGCACTTGCAGAGTTTGTGGAAGAGCTAACTTCTGCAATTGAAAAGAAACATTATGCCATTGGATGTTTTTGGGATTTAAAAAAGGCTTTGATTTAGTAGAACACAACTTATTAATAACAAAACTTCAAATGTATGGGGTTAGAGGAGTGGCCCTCAGTTGGCTTATGAGCTATTTGAATAACAGAACAGTATGTTGAAATAAATCTGGTTAAATCAAAATCAATGACAACAATATACGGAGTTCCTCAAGGTTCGGTTTTGGGACTTTTACTATTTATTTTGTATATTATTAATATATGTGAAGTTTCCAGTTTGTTAAAAGCAATTTTGTTCACTGATGTTACTAATCTATTTTTTTGTGGGGACAATTTGGAGGAGCTTTTAGAAACAGTTGCAAAAGAACTAAATAAACTGAAGAGTTGGTTTGATGCTAATAAGGTAACATTAAATTTAAATAAAACTAAATATATAATATTTGGGAATAGATCAACCAACAGTAATGTGAAACTCATGATAAATGATATGGAAATAAAAAGAGTGTCTGAAATAAAAATTTCTTTGTGTAATGATAGATGAAAAATTAAGTTGAAAGAAGCATGCAAATTATATTAATTTAAAAACCTGTAAATCAATTTTCAGTCTTTATAAAGTCAAACATTTTTTAAATCAATCATCATTGTTCACTTTGTACTGTTCCTTCATACAACCATACATGACTTATTGTGGTGAAGTGTGGGGGAACATATACAAATCAACAACAAATTCCGTCTTTCTTCTTAAAAAAAAAAAAAAAAAAAAGCCATACGAATAATTACTAAATCCACTTATACAGAACCAACTACCTCTCTGTTCATCAAACTGAAAATATTGACATTTGAAGACGGCATCGCCGTATATACAATAGTTTTCCTAAAAAGACATAACCTTTTTTTTCCTCACTATCTGACATTAAATGTGACTAAACTTTACCTGTTTTAGGTCAGTTAGGATTACCAAAATTATTTCTACTTGCTAAATGCCAGAATAATGAGAGAGAGAATTTTTATTGAATTTTTCATTACTTTCTTCAAGGTCAGAAGTTTACATACGTTTCCTTAGTATTTGGTAGCATTGCCTTTAAACTGTATGACTTGAATCAAATGTTTTGAGTATTCTTCCATAAGCTTCTCACAATAGTGTGCTGAAATTCTGGCCCGTTCCTCCTGGCAGAACTGGTGTAACTGAGTTACGTTTGTTGGCCGCCTTGCTTGCACGTATCTTTTCAGCTTTTCGTACAGATTTTCTACAGGACTGAGATCAGGGCTTTGTGATGGCCACTCCAAAACATTGACCTTGTTGTCCTGAAGCCACTTTGTAACTAATTTGACGATATGCTAGAGTCATTGTCCATTTAGAAGACCCATTTGTGCCCACGCTTTAACCTCCTGGCTGATGTCTTGAGATGTTGCTTCAATATTTCCACAAAATGTTCTTTCCTCATGATGCCATCTATTTTGTGACGTGCACCAGTCCCTCCTGCAGCAAAACACCCCCACAACATGATGCTGCCACCACCGTACTTCACAGTTGGGATGGTGTTCTCACGCTTGCAAGCTTCCCCCTTTTTCCTCCAAATGTAATGATGGTCATTATGGCCATTTTATAACATGAAATCTGGATATTTATGAAGGTATCTGTGGAATTTTGTCTTTGTAGGCATAAACCAGGGTTTGGAGGAGATTTGTTACATATTTTTATGTCATGTCTTTGGGAATTAATTAAAATATCAAGACTAAGTATTGGAAATTCATGTGATTCTCATAAGGAGGCATCACTTTGACACAGGATTAATTAATGAGGAAAAAAAGAAAAAAGTACCAACAGCACCAGTTACAGAGAACTAAAACTCAGGCGTTGTTTTCCTTTCAGAGGTGGTCTGCGGCGCTCCTTCCATCTATCTGGACTTCGCTCGGTCCAGTCTGGATCCCAGGATCGGTGTTGCAGCCCAGAACTGTTACAAGGTGGCCAAAGGAGCGTTTACAGGAGAGATCAGGTATTTGATTCACCCACTCAGATACAGTTTTTATACTGCTGCCCTGTTTGACTAAATGAACTGTAGATCAATGTGCAGTCAGACATTATTTTTTTGTTTTTAACACTCATCAGCTTGTAAAATGTAAAAATGTCACATTTCTAAAATGCTATTTTTTCAAAGAAACAATCTTGTCAAGCTGTATTTTACGAGTAACCATTTTTTTACCCCTTCACATTTTTCTATGTGTGTTACACAGATAGAAAACTTAAAAAGTCATTCCAAAATTTTAAGTACGTCTCAAGTACACTTTTAAAAAATGTGCAATTACAGATTTTTTGTATGGAAAATGTAACTGATGAGAGTTTTTGTTACTAAAAATATCAAGATGCAGCTCTTACTTTAGGGCTTTGAAGCACACACTTAATTGTTTTCTGTTTTTGAAATCAAATCCAGGATTACTTCATGCTACATTATCAGACACACATGCTGGAGATTGTTGGGAAATAAAAGTATATTTGAGTGTTTGTATTGGTGTGGTGGTGAGTTGTAACTTAATCACAGTCAACACAGAATTTGTTCTTTTTATCCGTTGAGCTAAAATGCTGAATTTTTTATTTTTTTGTTTTTTTGCAGTTATGGCTTCTTGAAAGTGCGAATTTTCTGCCGGATTTAGATTTTATTTCAAATTTAGGGGGAAAAAAACGAGATTCAGATGATCAGGCAACACAAGTGACACGTTTTAAACCTTAAATTAGAAATGAAGTGTTTGAGGAATGGTCACCAAACAAGTGGATAAGGAAAATAATCAATAGCTGCGAGCCTGCGACCTTTGATGAGTGTAATTCTGGTTCTGTAGGTTCAGATATGTAGAGCCCACTTAAACAGCTGATTTACCACTATGACGTGTCTCCAACATGCTTCCTCTCCCTCCAGTCCAGCTATGATTAAGGACTGTGGGGTCGACTGGGTGATCCTTGGGCACTCGGAGCGCCGTCATGTGTTCGGAGAAAGTGACGAGCTGATTGGACAGAAGGTGAGACTCTGTTAGTGGCTGGTTGGTTGTGGGTCGGCTCCAGTGAAAGACGTTGATGCTCAGTCTCTAAACAGTCATGTGAAACTTGTTCCAGTGCATCAAATTTGGAATATAAATCAAAAGAACTAAATAAAAGTAGAAGCAGAATTGTATGGAGGGCAGAAAACAAAACTGTACAGACTTGATATAAAGTGGAAAAATGTTGAGGAATTCTATTAAGCGCGCTTGCTGTATCTACTATCTACTTTATGTCAGTGTCTTAGCATGGTTTATGTTCAACGTGTTTGATGGCAACAGCGGTTCAAAAGTGACATCCTTTACAAGTGCATCATTAACATTGTGCAGGTTTTGTATGTCTGAAGCCGCCACAGCAGCTGTTCGGTGCAACCTGCTTCCACAAATCTCTTGAAACATTTGTTGTGTCAGTCTGCTGCAGCTCGTCACACATGCAGCAGGTGTTCAGGTGAATCTCTGACTCTGCCGTTGGTCCTCAGGTGACTCACGCTCTGGAGAGTGATCTGGGTGTGATCGCCTGCATCGGGGAGAAGCTGGAGGAGCGCGAGGGAGGCACCACGGAAGAAGTCGTCTACGCTCAGACGCAGGTCATCGCAGGTAAAAACAAGCAATAACCATAAATGTTAAAATTATTTTAAAAAATCTTTTAAATGATTATTCTGTGTTTGATGTTTTTTTTTATTTTTTTTTTTAAAGGTCAGCAAGCCCATTGCTTTTTATATATGTTATTTATTTAAATCTCTTCATATATTTTTCCTTTTCCTGTGTTTAATCATTAAAAATGATTTACTTCCTATTTTATTTACTCTTTTTTTTAAAGCTTTGCAGCAAAATATAAAATGACAATCATATCAAGAAATTTTATTAATACAAATTTTATTTCTGCTGTGTTCACCCAAAATATATGTGGAAAGCTAATCAATTATTTAATTAATTGATCAGTTGAAAAAAATAATCAACAGCAGTTTTGATGCCTAATGAATAATACTTTTTAATACAAAAATGAAAAGATGAGCATATTTAGAATTTGACTTAAGTGACAAAACAGGTTTTTTATGCTATTTTCTGACATTTTATAGATCAAAGGATTTGATGATGATAATAATAATAATAATAATAATGTTTAGAAAAACTGTAATGGTTGGTCATTTTCTTATTTTTGTAACCAGTCCTTAAGTCTTCATTTACCTGCTAGAAGAGAAACTGAACTGCTGGATTTAAGCGTTCTGCCCATTAGTATGACAAACTGCAGGTGTTCACTTCTGCGTCTGCTGGGTCTACCGTCACACTTTACAGAAGGGATTGATGATGGTTCCCTTACTTGCCTCATGTATCCTACTTCTGTGCGTGAAGTAGGCTGCACGCTGATTTAAAATGTAAATGGGTCAGTGGTCTCTGCTGCTTAAGATACTTCGGTAGACTAAGTGGTTTTCTTCCCCTGTTGAAGCACGATTTTTTTTTCTATCAGACCACAGAAAAATGTTGGAGGATTGATGGTTTCTTGTAGCTGATATAATTCAGTTTTCGAAAAATAATTAGTCTTTTTCTTTCTGAAGGGAAAACACTGAAAAAGGCAAACACCTCAAATTCATCTGTTTAGTGTGAATATTTCTCTTCAGTTGTTCTGAGAACAATCCCTTGTTGATTAGGTTTCATGGAAGCATAATCGTGGTATGTTTTAGGTGACATGTTGGATTTTTAATAGAATAAGAGGTTCCGTTTTTTAAGTCTAATGCAGGGAGGATGTTGTGTTACAGACAACGTTAAGGACTGGGGGAAAGTGGTGCTAGCGTATGAACCAGTGTGGGCCATTGGCACAGGAAAGACGGCCACACCTGAGCAGGTAACTCATCCACATTCCTCTAATAACTGCAGTGTGTTCAACGAGGCAGCTACAAGATCAGCTAATAATTAATCTGACACACCTTTAATGTGACAGCATTTAAGGCAGTCGAGTGACTTAAAGCTGAACATGAGTTCTTTTAATGTGTTATTTGCACACAGCTCGCTTACACTTTAATTTTTTTAACATTTTTAATTTGTTTCCACACTTGTCTCCTCTGTGTTCTGTGTAAACAAAGCCTGCAGTTCATTCGTATAGTACCCTAAATGTTCGTCACATGACTTCATGTTGCACCAAGAACGTCAGATTGTGGTGATTTGTACAGAATCTGGTAAAAATTGAATTAAGACCTAGAGTGAAATGTACGTTTTCTGACAGAACCCTACATCAAAGATGGGTAGTTTAAAGACTGTTGAAAATCTGATGATTCTGTTTATTTTTACAGTTTTCAGTTGATAAATGTAATTTTGCAGTTTTATTTTTGTAAAGATAACTTGCCTTTCCAACCCGCTGGTAGATTTTGGGGTTAAAAGAGATTTAATTTAAAAAAAAAAAAATTCCTTCCCCCCCGCCCCGGGGAAAAAACGCCCGCAAGTCAACCGAAAAAACCCCTTTGGCAAAAAAAAAGTCCAATTTTTTTACAGTTAGAACAAACAGTTTATTTTGGGTGAATTTTAATGAGACATATAGAATAAATTGAGTTTGAAATATTCAGGTTTAAGCTTAGATTTTGTAAAATTTTCCAATGGAAGGGCACATCACAGATGAGTAGTTCAGACTGTCAGAAAGTCAAAAATCCAATGATTCTTTTTGTTTTACACAATTCCTGGCAGATAAATTGTGTCATTTTTGTAATATTTTTAGTATAAGATGCCTTTAAAATCAGTTGTTGGGTTTTGGGGCTCAGAGGGTTAAAGAGATAAACAAAAGAAATGTATTGATTTTGGTGCTGCATGAAGTTTTTCTTAATTTCAACTGAATCCATAATCAGGAATGCACATTTTTTTCATTATTAATTTTCATTCATTAATACAGTTTGTAACAGATAATATTCAAAATGTTCTTTAGAAAACAGTGTGCAGTGTTTACTGGGTGCATTCAGTGTTTCTGCCCTCATCGAACTCACCAACACTGCTGACACTTCTAACTCTGCACATCCAGTTTTCCAGCATAAAAGCTGCCAGTATTTTCTCAGCCCACACTCTACTGACAGCTGCACATTCAGCTGCGGTTATTTCCAGAACCTTGTAGACCACAAACCCTTCTGGGTTCATGAAATTGTTGCAGGCAGTGCAACAACATGAACATTGCTTATTTCCAATTTGCTGTGAAAGCATTTTCTAATGACGAACGGCAAAAAAACTGAAGCAGTGGTTTTCGCTTTGCAGGGGTTTGATAAATCAAGTTCATGGAAATATTTATTTAGTTTTTATGTGAAAGAATGCGGGCCTCTTAATGTTAAATGTGTGTGTTTTTTTTTTAAAGGCTCAGGAGGTCCATGAGAAGCTGAGGGCCTGGATCAGAGCAAACGTCTCGGACGATGTGGCCGACTCTTTGCGCATCATCTACGGAGGTCAGTGGTCTGTCTTCATAAGATTTACATCTAAAGCCGACTATAAACTGCATTTATAGCCTAGCTGAACTGCATTTTTCTCTTACACCTGTCCAGCGTCGGATAAGTGGCATCTGTGTTGCTCATGTAACTTTATCAAACCAAAACTGATTCTTCTCTTTCGTTTCCATTTGTTGCACAGCTATTTATTTTCGACCTCATGCAGCATTAAAATGTGGGACAAATCCCCTAAAATATCACGTCCCTTCTGTCTTCACTCCACCTTCCAGCATGACTGTCTGGGAAGACTATGAACATTTCTGACATGGTCGCACAGCACATTTTCAGGATTGTTTCAGAGACAATAACCCTGTTCTTGTCCTCCATAAGTGCTCATAGCGTCAGAAACCCTCCATTAGCTCTCCCAAAGGGGGCGACTGTGTCCCATCATTTCTTCACACATCTATCCCAGGTGATACAGTCTGAAAATGTCGGCTGTTCTCTTCCAATTTTACAATATTGCATCTTCTCTTTCTGTGTGATGGCCGGCTTGTTTCTGTTTATGTGGAACAATCGACATAGTCGCTCAAAACATTGTAGAATCTGCTCCTAGAGGAAAGTAACTAAGCACATTTACTCAAATTCTTTACTTAAGTCTAATTATGAGGTACTCAATTTCAATATTTTTCATTGCATGCTACTTTCTCTTTCCCCCGTTACATTTATTCGACAGCTTTTTTAAGACACACTTTTAGCAGAATGTGGTTGTTTTGTGTATCTGTGTGGTCATTTAGTTGTTCTTTGTAGCCATTTTGCATCTCTTTGTTGTTGGTTTGTCTCCTTGTGGTCATTTTGCATCTCTTTGTTGTAGTTTTGCATGTCTTCCTAGTCATTTTGTGCCTCCTTGGTTGTAAGGAGGAGGCATCGTTTTGACAGATTGGAAATTCAACACGTCTATCTCTAAGTGTAGCCCTACGATAGACTGGTTACCTGTCCAGGGTGTCCCCTGCCTTCGCCCTAAGTCAGCTGGGATAGGCTCCAGCCCCTGGCGACCCTAGTGAGGATTAAGCGGTGTATAGATGATGGATGGATGGAAATTCAACACAGTTAAAAACTGAACCAGCCGTTTCATACATTTTTGTCTTCTTCTAAAAATAGAGGGTAGTCAGGTTTCCATTTTAAATTTCTGATTAGTTGTTGCCAGCTGTTCCCTTTAAATTTGTCACATGGTTTCATCTCAATAAATGTCTCATCATCCAATAAGTCAGTCAAACATTTGAGGAAAAACTGAAAAAAGATGATTGGATCAGGACTTTGTTTTTTCTTTGTTTCTCTTCCATTAAGCATGTTTGGAGCGCTCACATTTATCTGCTGTGCCTGTATGTATATCTGTGTATAAAGTAGTTCAAGCTGGCTCCACCTGCAGCAGCTACAACATGCTGCCGACATAAGTAATATATCGCTCAGAGGAACCAAACCAGGACTTTTACTGCAATACTTGACCTACATTTTGCTGCACTGTAGTTTTACTTAAGTGGGATTTTTCACCCAGCACTTTGACTTGTAGTGGAGTATTTTTTATTTTGCTGTATTGGTGCATTTATGCAAGTAAAGCATCTGAATATTTCCTCCAGCACTGTGTCTTTGGTAAGCAGGTCAATCCTTTTTTTTCTGGGAATATATCAGTGTATAAAAACACAGTTAAATCATGCTACTCTATGTCTGACATTACCTCACATTTATATATTCAAACTGTGAATATAGCAAATGATGCATTAGGATGACATTGAAACAGATTAAATGTGTTGTCAGACCGCTTGTAATTAATGTTGTGATAATGAGACAACAGTCCTTTACTGCTTCATCTTTACTGATGTTTGTCAGCTACAAATCAAATACAGGTTATAGTTTGCACTTGGGAGCAAAGATGTCACATTATGCTTTTCAGCTCTAAGGATTGTCTGCAGAGCTTGACAACACACTCACTGCTACTCCTATGACAGCCCACATAGAAGTAAGATGATTTTTTTTCATTGAAACTGGAGGGCTGAATAAAATTTGTTCGCATCGGCCCACTGATCCCAGCAAAAATGATGCTGTTGTGAAGCCTCTTTCCATATCAAATGCCAAACAGATGCGTGTTATAGATGTAAAAGAATGATTAGAAGTCACTGATTGACAGCAGGTTCATTTTTTTTAACCTCTTTTTACTCTGTTTCTCCTCCAGGTTCGGTCACTGGAGTGAACTGCAGAGAGCTGGCGTCTCAGGGCGACGTGGACGGCTTCCTGGTGGGCGGAGCCTCTCTGAAACCCGAGTTTATCGACATCATCAACGCACGCGCATAAAACAACAGGACCAACGAAAACCACGCTGCCCTTTAGTTTGTCACGTGTCACCTTGTGTATGCGGAGTGGGCTGACTGGACAGATGTGTGTATTTAATTAGCAAAATATGTGTTGAATAATTAAATACAGGTAAATGTCAGTATTTTATTCTTGTTTTACTATGATTTGTGGGACTTCAGTTCGCTTACTTGCCACTTTTTCCTTTTTTCCTTTTTACATGATGGAGACAGTGTTGAGGGATCAAGTACCATTAACTTAATTTTTAGTGTGTTTACACCTGGAAAATTAGATAACTTTTTGTATTAGTTACTGATATTTTCAGCCGCTTTATGTCCCAGAGCGAAATTAAGAAGGGAAAGTAAGTGATCTTTAATTGTGACATTTTTCCTGAGACATGGAGACAAACAGCGTCATCTGCTGTTAATCAGAGGGGAAATGATGCGTGTTACTTCCAGTAGAGGGTCAGTCAGCCCAGCTTGTTTTGTGTGTTTGCTAACAGACTGATCACACCACTGCACTAACTGTTACTGTAGGGTCTTTACAAGAAAGAATGTATTGAAATGTATATTGCAAAGACAAAATATAAGAGAATCAGGGAGTTTTATTGTGATGTTGCAATCAGTTGGCACTACAGATTTCTGTAGTTGAACACTGACTGAATGGACCAACATAAGGAGTGAACAAATAAACTGTGGGAAAAGTCCAGTTAAATGTTGTGTTTTATTTGCTGTTTGTCTACAAGTGATCTGCAAGGTCAAATAACTCAACAGCAACTCAATAAGTGGTTTTCATGTTTCACAGTTTCTCTTCATGTCTCGGTAATGTTTGAATAGAATAGTTGAAACAGTTTTTTCTCAAGAAAATATGGGTTTTAGAAAAGTTTTTAAAGAGAATTGTCTGCATGTTCCTGAAATTCTATCTGATTAATCATCACAGGTCACTTCAGATTTCTCTTGCGACCACTTTGAAGACCTTGTTCTGCATAGTGAGCAATGCTGGCTTGATATATTATAAAATACAAGGCTGTCCTGATGAGTTTGGCAAATCCACTAATATGCATGATTGCTTGCAAAGAGATAAATCTATCTTTTTATTAGGTTTATGGTATATTATTTAAATTACATATTATGTATTTTAAAGAAGGTTGCCGGTTCGTGTCCCGGTGGGGGCACCGGGATCTTTCTGCATGGAGTCTACATGTTCAGCGTGGGTTCTCTCCGGGTTCTCTGGCTTCCTCCCACACAGTCCAACAAATATGTTGAGGTTAATTGGTGATTCTAAATTGTCCATAGGTGTGAATGTGAGTGTGCTTGGTTGTCTGTCTCTAAGTGTAGCCCTGTGATAGACTGGTGACCTGTCCAGGGTGTCCCCTGCCTTCGCCCTAAATCGGCTGGGATAGGCTCCAGCCCCCCCGCGACCCTAGTGAGGATTAAGCGGTGTATAGATAATGGATGGATTATGTATTTCATACTTTTGTTTTTCAAATGTAAATATTCCTTATTAAACATTAAAAAGATAACAGATTCCTACTTTTCTCTATTACACATAACATTGGACTCTGTAGTTGAATTGCAATGGACATTATTGACTATTTTCTGACATTTTAAAGTCCAGATGATTAACCCTGGACATCTCTCAACCAGAACCACACGGTAAAAACAACACTTGCCGCCATTTTTCAAAGGTAGTAGACTGCAACACATTGAGTGCAAAAGCTACCTGGTAGTACTACGATTAAAACGGATGCAGCATTATTCTGCTTCATTTCTGTTGGTTCTAATTTGATAGTTGAGAAGTTCTAGAACAGGTTCAACAGCATCAGTGTCACTGAGTCTTTATTATTTGAACGTGTTACCCTCTAGTTGAAAATTTTGACAAGTACAGATGTTGAAAAAAAAAAAAAGAAAGACAGTTTTTCTACGGTTTTTAAGTTTCACTCCAGCCAGGTGATGAAGACACAGCAACTGAAGTTATTTCAGACTTCTCCAATGTGCATCTAATTCATAGAGCCCAGAATTGTTCAGTTTGGCCTCACAATTGTGAAACTCTTACTGACTGAACTGAGGTACCTTTTTAGACAGAAATTTTAAAAATAGCCAAGTGCAATAAGGTTTTTGCACCAATTTGTTTCCCCATCTGATTGAAATTTACTGTATTAGAAGATGTGATTTTTGCTTCTCTCAGCACTTTTTTTTTCAAAGCAGACTTGCAATTTTAAATGCACTTAACTGCAAAAATATAACCTTTTCTTTCTTTCTTTCTATATTTATTTAAATGTAAAGCAGCTGTAAAATCAACCAGTTTTGGGAGGTAAAAATCACAACACAACTCTGCAAAGTCCTGAATTTCTGCACATAATTCACTGAATGAGCAATAAGTAAACATTCAGAAGGACCACAAGCACAAAAAGACAAAACTCCTCCAGCTGTGATTGAAATTGTAAATTATCATCTTTTTATTTCACATATTTTCACATTATTCTCAATGACAAGCGTTCTGTTACATCTTTTTTTTTTTTTTTTTGCTTTTTAATTTTTTTTAAATTCCCTTTCTTCTTTTTCAACACAGCTATTCTATGGACATTCAGGAGGAACCAAAGGAACGAAGGGGGACTAGGGGATTCGATACTTTTTCTTCTTTTTTTTTTTCTTTGAGACGGAGGTGGGACTTCAAGCATGAAGGACAAATAATCAGAATCACATCGGGTTGAGGAGGAGGAGGAGAATAAGGAGCGACTGGAAGTGAGAAACAGACACGACGAGAAGAAAAAGGAGACGAAAAGAGAGGAGCAGGAAGAAGAAGAGGAGGAAGAGGAGGAGTGCAGGTGCTGGAGTGTCCAGGTGAGAGTGTGACACAGCCGAGTGTGAGAGTGTTCAGGTGTTACAGTGTGTAGTTCTACTGTTACTTTCCCCAAGTCCTTGAAACTGCTGCTTTCTGCAAAATGCATCGACTATTTTTGGTGTTGCATCTCTTTCAGTTGCGTGCTTCAGTCTACGATGTTCTACGATATCACTACTCATTAATCTTCTTTTCTTTTTACAATAATCTGTATTTTTGCAGCTCTCCCCACCGACTGTACACGAACTATTCCTTTGAAACTACAGTAACAGTGCATGTCTGGCTTATAAATATGATATTTTCATAATATTCCCCTGCATGTGCATTAGCATGTGTTGCATCTGTGTACTCTCTCTCTATACATGTGTGTGTGTGTGTGTGTGTGCATACAGTATCATCTCCCTCTGTGTGAATCCAGTGCATAATTTGTTCATTTATTTTATTTATTTCTTCTTCTTCTTTTTTTCTTTTTTTTTGCTTAACTCCTTTGCTCGTGTTTTTTTTTTTTTTCTCTCTCTCCCATTAATCAGTGAGCTCTGTCTTTGTACATGGCTCGTTCCTTGTTTGTCGTTTCTGTCAGTTTTGTGTGCGATTGCGTGCATATTTGTGTGCAAGTCATTCGTCTGTCAGGTTCACAGGGCGCTGGGGTTCCTGAAGTTATGGCCTGCAAAGCGAGCCTGGTCACCCAACTCCTCCTCAATTCTGCAGAGAAGAAAAAGAGAGAGGAGGAAGGAACAGAGAGAACTTAGTTACAGGTACATAAAACATTTTTATAGGATCATGCATCAAAACGTGGGTCTGCAACTGAGGCTAGAGGCTGAATCCAATGTGGAAGTAAGTCAAAGTGCAAAATCACATATGGCTGTGAGATGCTGCTTGTAAAACATCTCTGGCTCCTACTGACTTCTATTCAAAAAGCATCAGTTTATTTCTAGAAATGCTGAGTCAGTCATCTTTTTCAACAAGTCATTGTCGTCTAAATTCTTCTCTTATAAATGTGCTAGTGCTTATTTTGGAAATTACTGCTCTGTTTATAAGATTTGAAGGCATGTGGATGGATTTGGGCTGGGTTTACTGTCCTGCACTTCAAAAAAATAACAAATTGGAACCAAAAATGGTTCTTCAAAGAGAGGCCATAGAAGGACCATTTTCGGCTTCAGGTTCTTTAAATTTCTTCAAATTGTTATGTAAAGAACCCTCAAAAAGTGTTTCAAAATCAACCAAAAATGGTTTTAAATAATGTAGCAATAATACGTTCTTAAAGGAACCATTTTCAAGATAGTTCTTTGTGTATTTCTGGATTCCCTCCATTAGAACATATTTATCATTTTTGGTTCCAGACTGTTGGTCAGACAGAACAACACAAGATGACAGCACTTGTTGGTAAGATAAAATCAGTGTTGGTTTTGTTCTTATCTTTGGATTTGTTGCCATTCCTCAGGAGTTCAAACAACAATCCAGCACACTTTCCTGCACTACTTTTATGCTGTCTCAGCTACAAGCAACACAACTTCCTCAGTGCTCTACTTTTTAGTAATATTTTACCACCACCTCCTGTTTTTAAACATGCTGACATAGCTATTACTGTAACATCTTTCCACAGTGTGAGGAACTCGGTCTTTCTGGTGTGTCGTGCGTGAACGCTCAACTGCACTGATTAGCGTTTATCGCTGGTTAATGCTCCTGTAAGTCTCTCCCCCCCTCCACCTCTCCCGCAGCAGTTTCCTCAGCAGTCCGATGGGATTACACCACTGAGCCGATCCCACCTCCTCCCTCCTAGTTCCTGCCTCCCTCCCTCCATCCCCCTGCCGCTGACTGGCTCGGACACATGGGGTGACACCAGCGCTGTTGTCGCCTGTCACGTCAGCGAGCTCTCTGATGCTAAGTACTAAGACAGAGTGGGAACACGAGGAGCCGTGTTATAGCAGATTTGGTGCCAAAAGAGGACACAAAAAATGTGGAATACCAAAAAAAGTGACAGCTTAATATTCAGTTGGGTGGAGTGCCATAAAAGAAGTGCTAAAAGTAATAGTTGCTAGAGAGAGTTATTATGGTTTTAAAGGCCCCGTATGTTGAAAATCCATTTTTATTGGGTTTTGTCAGTGTCATAACCTTGGAGGAGTAAAATTATAGCAGTTAAGATACAAAGTTGTTAAAATTCAAGTTAAGAATGATGTTTACTTCCGCTTCTCCTAAAGCCTTCCCTCAACAAGTTATCCTGCTACCTTACACCTAATTGACCAATTGTTGTCTTGCTGAAAAGTATTATCTTGCCCTGTCACTGCCAGATGAAGCAATCAGACAGAGCAGTTTCCTCTAAGTCAACCACGTTATTCACTTTCTATAGCTGCCTCTGCTAAAATGTCTCATCCACAAACAAAACATATCAAATTTTCTGCTGTTGGCTGCAAGAGTGAATACAAGAGTATCCATGCACTC